TCAAATTTTTCTTCTTTATAGCAATTTTACTTTTAAATTTTACAATCTAGCTATTATTTTACTTTAATGTGAGAAACATTGTTGTTAAAACTCATGAATTTCTAATTCAAATTATAGAATCACAAGTTATATAAGTATAAAAATACTCTATTATCAAATATATATAGTTTAAAAATATCAACGTATATAATATAAATCAAATCATTATTAAAGTTCAAATTAACCCATTTTTTAAAAATTTAACTAGCTAAATTATTGTCTAACACTAAATTTAATTTTAAAATGATAATGATAACTAAATATTTGAAATATTATTAACAATGTAAAAATTAATAACATTAGAATTATATAAAAAATTTAAAAAACAAAAAAACATAAAATGGCTTAAAAGGGCCGGCCTTTTAAGTTCTCAGCCCTTCAGGGCCAACCCTTCAGGGTTTATTTGTAACATACTGTTTAAAAAAAAAAAGATATCAATTAATTAAAATAATATAAATTATTGTATTATTAAAAAAAAAAAAAAGAAGATACCCAGCTTTCCACCGAATTCGGTGGAAAGCCTGGGCATCATTTAATGGAACAAAGAATAGGGGGGGGAGGTATTGATGGCCGAAGAAAAAATGGGGAAGTGGCAGATGGATGTAGAAAAATGGGTAAGAGGCCGTGGAAAAATTTGAAACGTGGAGGTATTATATATATCATCATCCCCCAGTTATTTCCTTCAAGTAAGAGCAAGAGAGTGCGGAAGAGGAAGAGAGCAAAAGAAAAGAGAAGAGAGAGAGAAGCATAGAGAGAGAGAGAGAGCCGAGTTGCAGAGTACCTGACGGTTTTGGAGATCATTTAGGTACACAAAACTACTTCTTGTTATCATATTTTCTTTATGAATATTTCCTATATATTTATAGCTTTATATTATTAGTATCATTATCATGTTTAGAGAAAATTTTACCGTTTGAGTATAGAGTAAATATGGAGTTTTGACAAGATATGACCGTAGAAATTTAAAGATCCATTATTAAGAAATTTTAATCGGTTTATTTTTGTTGAATGATTATTTTGAGAATTTTAAACTAAGATTTTAGTTGAAAAATTTGTTATTTAGACTTGTAATATGTTTTTACCGATTAAATTTGAGTTAAATAATTTATTTGAGTTATTTAATATATTATTGAGGTTTTAATCGGTTTAAATATTGAATAAGTTAAAGATATATTTTTGAAATAATTTTTGAAGGCTTAAAAAATTGTAAATTAAGAATTTTGTGAAATTAGATAAAGTTACAGTTTGTTTATAATTTTAAAAGAAGTTGTTTGGTTTGAGGAAAAATTTTAAATGAGATTATAATAAATATTTGAGAATTTTAATATAAAAGATTTTGAGTAATAAAAATATATATACACTTTTGTTAAATTTAAATAGCCTTGTATGTAAACTATATTTTTCAAAATAATATCTATTATAAATGCTTAGATTTGGGAGAGTTAATATATTTATGTAATTTTAGTTTAGAGGGTAGTCTTAGAATTTTAGAGTAGCTTTGGAGTGGCTTTGAGTTTATGTTAATAAATATTTATGTGCAATTTTGTAGACTTGAGGATTTTGGAGTAATCTTTGTGTGAATATTTGTAAGCTAAAGAGTACCAGGTAACTCTGAAAATTCTTTCTTGTACATGTGAATTGTGTATGATTGTATTATGAATTTACTGTATTTTCATATATTGAAATATAATATTGTGATTTTTCAAATGAATGTTTTGGAATGTTATTTGATTTTGTTAAGATTTATTGCTATTAATTATGATTAATATTTAAATATATTGATGGCTATGGAATTGTCATGAGTTGTTATTAAGTGGTATATAAGTTTTATTGCTATCTGATTTTTAATATATTTGCGGACGTATTTATGATGTAATATTATTGGCATCTGACATGCATTTTTGGGCTAAGGATAGAAGGAGATTGCATGGATATAAAATTACCACGTGGTATGCCATCACTCGGTGCACAGTGGATGGCACTTGTCAGGGCCCTTTCTTCCATGTTTTCCTTTGGCCGGGAATTCATTGGAGCTGTGGGACATGTGACACCTCCCTATTCACAAAGGAGGGGAGCCATAGTCCGAGCTTGAGCTCTATATCTTTGGCCGGATATATCTCTAGTATCGGTGAGCTTGGAATAATTCAGTAAAATGGATTAGTTCCTATCGGACTATGTGTTAGCCTATGGCTCCAGTCAGCGGTATAAGGGTGGACGGTGATATAAGGGAGGCAGCATATTGCATTATTTTTGGATATATTAGAAAAATGATATTGGTATATTGTTGGGAAAAAAAATGAAATTGAATTGGATGTCTCAAATCCGTGATTTTTAATATATTTATACACACACATATAAACGGATTTTTGGTTTATCATATGTGATTTGTTTGTATAGGTTAGAATTTCAGTAGTTACTGAGACGTTAGATCTCACCCCCTATATTAACAATTTTCAGGCGAAGGATCTAGTAGGAATCAAGGGAAGGCACCATTAGAGTGAGCCGTGAAGGCTTTTGTGCTCCTCAAGCATATGCTATGTTATATTTTTATTTGCCATGACTATAAGACTTTAATAGTTTATGTTGTTAAGTTATGTTAGAAATGTTTTGAAATTTTAACTTAATTGCAGTATTAAAAATATGTATGGACTTTTAAATTAAATATTTTATTGCGTATATTGATATAATTATGTGAGGTGTTACATTATTTCTCATTTGAAAGGAAAAATATCAAACCTGACCCTTATAATTTCAGGGCCTAAACAGGCTTAGCCCTTTTTCCCGTCTCTAGGCGTTTCGTTTAAAATTAGGAATAATTAATTGGTAAATCTTTATAGTTTTAACTAATTTTGAATTAGATCTCTAGAGTTTTTTTTATTTGTATTAAGTCCTTATACTTTTATCTGTTTTTAATTAGGCCTTTGTATTTATTTTTCTTTTTATCAAGTCCTTATAAATTCACCTTATTTTTAATTAAATCCCTGAATTTTTTATTCTTTATTTTATAAATTCTAATAATACTATTCTATTAACATAAAATAGTATATATTATTTAATATTAGTTTATAAACAATAATATTTTAAAAATAATAAAGTATTATAATAATTTTATTTTTTGCCAGTAAAAAAATATTAATTATTCTAAAAAAGTTTCCTGAATTAATTAATTATATTACTTATTTTTTATTATATAATTTTTAATTTAATTTCATTATCAATATTTTATATTTCAGTATTAATCTATTTAATTAAGTTTATATTTAATTAATTAATAAAAATTAAAACTACATGGACCTAATTAGAAATTTAGTGAAATTATAAGGATTTGATAAAAAGAAAAATAAATACAAGGGCTTAATTAAAAATATGTGAAAGTATAAGGATTTAATTAAAAAAAATTATAATAACCTGATTCAAAATTTGTTGAAACTATAAAGACATCCAGATTAATTAACCCATATTTATATTTATCATTTTTCTTCAAATCAATTTGCCTCTTTTGTAAATTGATATAAACTAACGATACATATAAATATTTTAGAGAAATCATGTAACATATGTTATAATTAAATAATATAACAGCTTTTTTAATTTTCACAAATTATTCAACAATTTTATATTAAGAACAAAAAATAGTATTATTTTACATTGTAACTTGGTGTCAGAGCTCTGATATCAAATCCAATCATACATGTTATTAGATTTATATATTTGTCTTACCCATAATGCAACCTCGTCATCAACAAATACATCAACATAAAATAGTTTATTTGACAGAGCTTCTTATTCACATCAACCTTATCAATTTTAAGGTCATGAAATGTGAAAATATACAAATAACTTGTTAGTTTTATTGCATTTTCGATTCTTCTTGTCAAAACTCTTGTAAATATTTGAAAATTGAATCGAAAAACTTTTCATTTTATTCAACTTCTTTGATTAATAATTTAAAAATTCTATGAGTACTCTAATAAAAGAAAACTACCATGGGTAAAATATTTAGAAAAAATTGGTGGATAGTTTCTATTTGTGTGAAGTCCTACAAATACTTTTTTTATGTATAAAAACACGTATTAGTTCTTCTAACCAGTAAAATTCATAAAAAAAATTTATTTAATTTTGTTGATAATTTTTATTTGATTAAAAGCATCTACATTCATTATTAAATAATTAATAGTAATTATTAAGTAAATTTTTTTTCAGTTAAATACTTTTTTTTCACCACTTACGGCTATTAGTTAGCAACAATCGATGCTAATTTGTTTATATATATTGAGAAGATTATGGATATAAAATCACTTTAAGCTAAAATCATACTGAACTTAAAAATCTTATAATGTATAAGTAGGTAATTTATTAAAATTTTCATATTCTATATTAATTAATAAAAAAAAGATAGGAAAAATAAAAAAAAGACTTTAAAAATATAAAAATTTGTAAATAGGGACTTATCACAATATTAGTATGGCTTTTGATAATAATTGATGAATAATGTAATTTTTTAATTTTTAAGATTTTTTTTTTATGATTTTTCCTAAAAGATACCCATAAATTTACGTAAATTGAGCTGCTTCGTTCGTAATTCAGAAGGAAATAGGGCTTTTTTTATATTTAATTGATTTTATATTAATGTTAATGATATTAAACATATACAGGCCATTGGATTTTACTCGAATATTAATGATGATACATATTTGATAAATAGTGCCAAAATTAAGATACGTTTTAAATTTTATATGGACGTAGATATTCATGGACAAAACAAAAAATGGACATAGATATTAATGGTTAAATTCCTGCTTTAATTTATTAAGTAATACGTTCCTCAAACGACATCATCCATTCGTTTGGTTGTTTGTCGTTTATGCCCGTTGATCTTTTCCCGGCTTTGCCTTTCCTCTGGGTGAAGCGTGATTACCTCTGTGGCTGTAAGTTGGGGGAAGCGAGACCAGGGTTGGTGGTGGTGGTTGTTTTTCATGGCAACCCTTACCTCCTTCCTCTCGGCTTCTCTTCCTCGTCTTCCTCATATCCCGTCACGTGCCCGATCTAGCTCCTCTCTGCTCTTCTGCATTTCTCCTTTGAGCTCTAACTTGAACCCTAGAAAATTTCGGACCCCGTTTGTTGTTGTTGCTTCGTCGGCCCAATCTTTCGGTGATTCCAGCTCCGAAAGGCTGAGACCCAAATCTTCAAAGGTTAGTTCTTTCTTCTGAATTGTTCGTATGATCTGTAATTCAAATGGACTTCTTGAACCCTTTTTTTGTCTTTTTTTCTTTCCTGGAGCTCCACGTTGCCATACCTAATTTTAATTTCTTCTTGGTGCCTTTGATTGGGTCCTTTTATCTTCTTCTGAGTATGAAATTAACTGTAAATTTTAGATATTGAGTAATAGACTTTTTACTTTGTATGCTGACTCTGGTTATGGTGTGAAGTCACTTGGAGCTGGCATGGTCTTTCATTCAATTCAGAGCAATCCAAATGCGTTACTTAATCAAATTTGCTTTTAACTTAGTAGAACAGCATCGTATTACGCTTAGTTACAATAGCATTTTTAGGTTTTGCTTATCTGTGTTAGGTGTTGTTAGTTAAGCAATCCATTTAGCAAGATTTGAATGGAATTGTATACTAACTACGGTGTTGTTAGTTAAGTAATCCATTTAGCAAGATTTGAATGGAATTGTATACTAACTACGGTAGAACTGGTGACAAGGTATAGATGATAACTTTATCACTTACAGTATGATGGCATGAACTTTTTCATATACTAGAAGAACATGTTTTGAAGAAAATATGATTAGTGATGGGTTCATGCTATTGTGTAACTCTGAACCTGTTGCGAATAATAGACTAAGCGACCTCGTTTCATAAATTTTCAGTTAATTACCATATTCTTTGTTATTTTCTTTTCACTCGATGGCTTGGATTTATCTCATTTTTAACAATAGAAGGTATTATGTTTTATATGAACATGTGCCCGCTTTCAAAATGATGGTCTAGGAGACAAATCTTTTATTGCTTATTTGGAAGAAACTGCAGAGTAGGCTTTTTTTGAAACATTCCTTCTATAGGATTGAGAATTGCTGGTTAGATGTTGTGCTGGTTGTGTTTCACATATGAGATGCATAATGGTTTTCTTCTTATTCAGAAATCTGTTCTCTTAGAGCTGATACATGAGATAGAACCTCTGGATGTAAGCCATATCCAGAAAGATGTACCACCAACTACAGTGGATGCCATGAAAAGGACTATATCTAGCATGTTGGGTTTGCTTCCATCTGATCAATTTCAAGTTGTCATTGAAGCCTTGTGGGAACCCCTTTCCAGATTATTAATTTCTTCAATAATCACGGGGTAAGTTCAATATCTAGTTCCAATTGCTGAAACAACCCCCCCCCCCCCCAAAAAAAAAATTCTGTGACCCCAAAAAGTATGGAGAATTGGAGACCAAATGTGTTTTTTTTTTTAAACCTAAATTATACCCTGTTGAATCTTGTAAATGGTTTCTCTGCTCAATGGCTGGTTTTCCTGTATTAGGGGATAATCCTTACATTTGGGAGTAGTATGGCTTGGCCCAACCTTTCTTTTTTTATTCTATGCTTTTTTTTCCCCTGTATGAACATACATTTGCAAATGCTTATGTTGATCTATGAATCCTCGTGTAGTTTTAATTTTGAAGCATTGTGGAAAAATTTCTCTTTAAATGCAGGTATACATTGCGGAATGCCGAATATAGATTTTGTCTTGAGAAGAACCTTGATATGCATGAAAGAGATTTAGAAAACCCGAAGGCAGAAAGTACTGAGCTCAATGCACATGGGTTGATATTTGACAGGTTAGATGTAATTGGCTTATGCAGAAGAAATGATTTGTCTCCTGAAGTTGATAAGTTGGATGAAGAGACAGTTGGGAATGTTGGATTTCAAAACTTTGGTGAAATGTCCACTGAAGTTCAACAGTATATTTATGATTTGCAATCTCGTTTGTCTTCCATCAAAAAGGTATGCCACCTAAATTCAAGGATGTAGGAATAAAGAGTTTAGTGGGAGACTTCTTGGGGTGGGGGATCATTTGGTCAATGCAATACTACCTCCGGTCCTAAATTGAATTACAAATGAGATCTTATGATTAGGATGGGACGTATATGTTTTATATTGGACACCGTAGATGCTTGATGCTCAAATATCATGATACGTGATCTCAGCTGTTAATTTTGGATCTGTTCTAGTTTGTGTGCTTTGCTATGATCAATCTACAATTATGTTCCCTGTATTCCAGAAGGCCATCATTGCGGTATATGGCTTTTAATTGTCTTTTTTGTTTTGTTTTATTGGAATTTTTTCAAAGGAACTTAGCGAAGTGAAGAGGAAGAATGCTGCTCTTCAGATGCAACAGTTTGTTGGGGAAGAAAAAAATGATCTACTGGATTACTTGAGATCTCTTCAACCTGAACAGGTTTGTCTTCTTCAGAAAAAATCATAACTGGCATTGCTCTTAGACCTTGTTTTATCTTTTTTATGTTGTGTGATGTTTATATGTTATGGTATCTTGCTATAGTTTAGTGTTATGTGATTTTTCCTGGCTCTGGTTTGTCATCCTTGCTTGTTATGTTCATTTATTGCTCTGAAAGATTTGGATACCAAGTGCTGAGAATCCTGCTCAGCTGTCATATTCTTGTGTTGGTCTATTTTGATTATGAATGACCCTAAGGAAAGAGTAGCGTACCATCTAGTATCTGGTAAAAAGCAATTACATTGTTCTCTGCTTTTGGCACATCTTATGCTTGCCCTTTGTGTCTCTAGTTTCTTTGTCCTTTTCTCTGGATAAAATACTTTTTCAGGAAAAAAGGAAGTTCACATGATTTTCCGAGTTATTCTTTTTTAAATTTTCTTCTGTTCCTTCATTATTGTGATGAAAAACCTTAGGATGCATTTGTAGCTAATGTTTTTATTGTCCTCTCTTCTATGTGTTTCTCATTTAAGTGCGGCTTTATGAACTTGTCCACACCTGTTCAACTAAGTTTCCACTTTTTTTTTTTTTTGGGGGGGGGTGGTTTGGGGGATGAGTAGGTTTTCACTTCGCATATATTCCCCCTTTTTTTCCTTCCCCTTTCATTTGTGCCAGTGACTCATGCTATTTGGCCCTAAGCAGGTAGCTGAGCTATCAGAATCTACATCCTCTGAACTTAAGAATACCATCCACTCTGTTGTCCACGGTCTTCTTGCTACTCTTTCACCGAAGATGCATTCAAAAGCTTCTACAATGTCCGAGAACACAACTTCTGGAACTGCAAATGGTGGGATTGAGGATTGTACTGAATTTGTTGAGAATGCTTCACTACAATTTCAGCCTGTTATTTCATTAACTCGGGACTATCTGGCCCGTCTGCTCTTTTGGTTAGTTATATGCTATACCTTTGTACCTTATTTATCTGGATATCTACATTTTTAGTAATCATACCGGAACAAGTACCAGAGAAGTGATGTTAGCTTTACAAAATTGTTACTTTGTTTATTTTCTATCTTTGGGAACTTGACGCATGTCCTGACCATTTAAGAAACTAAACCTTTAATGTGTAATGTGATTTCATTCGCTTTCTTGAGACTGGGGAGGGGGTAGGGTGAGGGAAAAATGGGTAGGTAGCAAGTAGAGTTCTTTTGGGGGTTTGAGGGGAGGGGGTGTTAGGGGGGATACCGTAGTCTAAGGGCCTTTTTGGTTTGAGGGGAGGGAGGGGTAGGGGAGGGGAGGGGAGGTTTCATCCTCCCCTTGTTTGGTTTGATTAAAAAGGAGGGGAGGGGAGGGCATTTAATGATCCCTTGTTTGGTTCAAGGAGGGGAGGGGAGGGATAGTAATAATCAATTTACCATTTTACCCTTACATATTAGTTTATGTTTTTTATTGATATATTATATAAATTAATTTACATCTTAATTTAAATTATATAATTTAATAAAAATTCAGTCTTATCATGTTAATATGTGTATTAAAAAATTGGTATAGTAATTTTTATTCTAATTAATATAATAATATATTTAAAATAATTAAATTAACAAATTTATATGCTATAAGAAAAATGAAATTTTATTTTCTTTAGGCTATCTTTTTTTCCAGCTTTAAAATATATTTAATAAATAATATATTTATAAAAAACAATTAATTTTATAATATTATAATTTTTTATTTAAATTTTTTATAATATATTTTTAATTATAATAATGTATATATTATTTGAAATAAATATTATAATAATATATTTTATGGGTAGAAGTGGAATATTAAAAAAGCCATAAGGGCATAATGGTCCAAAATTTTGGCTCCCCTCCAAAAACCCCCAATTTGGAGGGGAGCCAAAATGGGGGGAGGGAGGGAGGGGGGGAGGGGACATTTTAGCTCCCCTCCCCTCCAAAATTTTTAACCAAATGAGGGGAGGGGCTCATTTTCCCTCCCCTCCAACCAAACACACCCTAAAAGTTCACGGTAATGGCAAAACAATAGCTTACTGATGATTGTTTGTGTTTGGCGAAAAGCAATTTTCCAGTGCTGTGCCTGCTGATGCTAATATTCTCAACAAAACTGACTTTTGGTTACTTTTTCTCCTTCTCCTTGTAGGTGCATGCTGTTGGGACACTATCTTAGAGGCCTTGAGTACAGGATGGAGTTGATGGAACTGCTCTCCCTGAGTGATGATAGCTGAGAATGATTGACCGGGAAGTGAGTTAATTGCTTGAATCCTGATCTAGTTTCGTTGGTGCCTTCTGTATATAGACATGTTGAGGTTCTCTGCGACCTATCTTTTCAACATCAAGAGGTTAGAGCATGGAAGCAAGTGCCGTGTTGTTTCTGCTTGGAGCTAGAATAATCCTATCTTATTTTTTCTGCTAAATTGCCACTTCATGCATCTGCTCTTGTTGCTGGACCGTTGGGGAAACGAAGCGGAATTATTGTCGCCAGGTTGAATACATCATGGATTTTGGAAATTCTGAGACTGCGACAGACCGAGGTACAGGATGTAGACGTGATGTCTTAACATCAAACTGTCATTTATGATCTTGATCCAGTAATAAAGGTTTAATAAAATTATGAATAAATTTCTAGTTTTGTGAATCCTTTTTAATTTTAGCTGTGTTGAAACTTTCTGCAATTATTTTAATATTCACATCTGTAAAGATACTCCAATTAATTCTATTTTATGCTCTTCTTCTGTACACTTTGTTATTTGGAATTTACTTAACCTGAAGAATTAAAGCTACAGTAGATGTTATTTCTACATGTGTCTGATAAAACCTAGTGAAAGTTGCCCTGTCTGGGTGAATAGTCCGATACTCAGAGTCAGCGACACCAAGGTCGGGAGGTTATTTTGGTTCCATTTCATGTGTGGGATGTCAGAACGACAGGATAATTATTGTGACACATTTAATAATCTGATCTTTAATCGGTCGAACTAGGAAAATTGGTAATTTGACTTTCGGTTAATCGGCTATTCTTTGTGCACTTCGAGTGTTTAAGAATCAATCAGCTTCAGTTAAAAATTGAGATGGGTTAATAATTTTAGATGTATAAGCTGAACTTCATACTAATCGGTCTCTTTGGTATTTACCAATGCAAATGTTTAATACTACTTTAATTTTAAATATAAGAGCTAGTTAACTAATTTAAGGTGATTAAAAAAAAATAAGTTAATTATTTATAATAAATAAATACTGTTTTTTTTTAAAATATTCTTGTTAATTAAGTATATTGGCTAGAACTACTATTATTAGAATTATCTTGGAAAAAATGTATAAATATAAGACATAAAGTGAATTAAGATCTTATATTTAGAATCAAAATAAAAATCAAAAAAGGTTTTATATTAAGGATCGAAGGTAATAATATATAGCAATAGATACGTGCCCTCACCTGGATTCAGATGATTTTCCAAGACTTCTTGGGATTGTTTAGTTTCTTTGAAAGTGTTTTTTTAAAAAGTATTTTTATGTAAGTCGAGACAAAATTTTACATATTTATTTTGTATACCATAAAATCATTCTAAAACTATAGTTTGGTTTTCACTCAAAAACCTTTTTAAAACAACTCATCTGGTATGGCTCAGGTTCAAACTTGAGCATTTGGAGACACCTGAAAATGCCATGGCCAAATATTTAGACAATATTGTTAGAAATTAGAATTATGCTAATCAATATATATTATATCAAGCTCGACTGTATTTGAATTAACGACTACGAACCAAAAATTTTATTGAGCCAGCGATCAATCTAATCTTCAAATATTCAGAACTAACCACGATCAGAGTACTGTATTTTTTTTTGGGGGGGGGGGCATTTACAGGTTTCAGAAACCTATAGCATGATCCGTACATGCCGATTGGAAAAATTATAGGGTAGGTTGGCGTTGGTGTGCTAGATTCAGCAACGTGTGACTGTACAAAGGAGAACCATTAAAACAACGATAATCACTCACCCGATAACCCGCGAGCTTTGGCAAAGATTTACATCTCATATGGTCATAGTGAGTATGTTGCCAAAATTCAATTTTAAGCCCATTCCTTGCTTCTTCTTTTTTTGCTTTAATTGTCTATTTTTAAGATTTTGTTGTTCTATAACCCAAAAAAAAAGGAGAAAGAAAGAAAGAAAGAAAAAAATTACTCAGATGCTGTCTCCCAGCAATCTCTAGTCGCAGCATTTCTACCGACAGACAGGCCTGGTACTCTCAGATGTTTCACCAAGATGGCCAATGTATTATATATGTCCTCAATTTGAGGATGTGACAAACACCCAACAAGAAACTCATGAACAACTCCATCCAAGCTAATCCAACTATATCCTGGTTGCTTCTTTATCTCTTTCTCTCTCATTTCCGTCCTTAATGCTGATACATCACTCCAATGGTGATTCGAGGCAAAAGCATTAGCCAACATTACATAGCCTGCAGAATTACTCGGGTCAGCCTCCACAAGCTTCATAGAAACCTCTTGAGCCAATTCAACTCTGGAATGGAGCAAGCAACCTCCAAGCAGTGCACCCCATACAAAATTGTTAGGCTTGAAAGGCATGGATGATACAACTTCCAAAGCTTCTTCTAGCATGTTCCCTCTTGCAAGGAGATCAATATAACAAGCATAATGTTCTGAGTTAGGAGAAATCTTAAAGGTCATATTCATGTCCCTGAATATTTGACGTCCTCTCTCTAACAATCCAGAGTGGCTGCATGCGCACAAAACCCCAAGAAATGTTCCAGCATTAGGTTTTATGCCAAATTCAAACATTTTGTAGAAGAGCCTCAATGCATTCTCTCCCTCACTGTTTACTGCAAGACCCATGATCATAGCATTGAACAAGACAACGTCTTTGGATTCTGCATGTTCAAAAACTTCCTTTGCCCTATCTAAACTCCCACATTTAGAATACATATCAAGTAATGCTGTAGCAAGTATTCGGTTTGATCCAATAATACCCTTTTGTCCGTTGGACATCATGTATTCATGGACCCGCACACCCAGATCCAAATCACCAATTTGAGCACAAGCTGAAAGAACGCTAACCATGGTAACGTGGTTAGGTTCAGTTATTTGATCTTCCACCATCGTGCGGAAAAGAGTCAAACCCTCCAAAGGTAAACCATTCTGAACATACGCATTTATCATAGCATTCCAAGGAAGCACGCTTCTTTTACCCTTAGAAGAAACCTGATCAAATCTGTCTCTGCTCGTCTCAATCATTCCCCATTTTCCATGAAGATATATGAGGACTGTATTAATGGAGTCACGGCAAATTTCTTCAGGGTCAGTGTTATCAACAAGTTCCAAAAGAATGGCAACCCATTTCTGAATAGTTGGTATAGCAAAGTTAGAACATGCTGACAACACACTGACCATGGTATCATTTTCTGGATGTATATTTTGCCCAATCATCACCCGGAAAAGATTCAAAACGTCTTCACTCTTACCCGATTCAGCATAACCTTTGGCCAACGAAGTCCAACAGCTAACCAGTGTTATGTCAGGAATTTCATCAAACACTTTAAGTGCAGACACCAAATCATGAAACCCTTTGGCATAGACTGAGACCAATCCATTACTAACAAATAAATTATTAAGCAAACCCATCTTCTGAATTTGAGAATGAACTTGCTCAACGATACGGGCATCTGTGGACGAGAAGCATGCCTTGAGGAGGAAAGAAAAGGTGAAATCATTAGGCAAAAGAGATCGTCGTTTGAGATTCTTGAACGCAGAGAATGCGTGAGAGGATTGACCCTCATCAGCGAGGACTCTGATAATGGCATTGAAAGGGAAGATGTTAGGATTCTGAAGTTGATGAAAAATCCGGAGAGATACATAAGATGGGTAACGACCAATGAGACGCGTAGCGACCCAATCGTTTTGATGGGCTCCTAGTTGATAGATGCGAGCATGAACTTGAAGAAGATGAAATCGAGAAATGGGGCCTCTCAAGAGGGCAAAGATGTTTATAAAGCTTGGGCATTCTGGACGGGAATGAAGAAGCCGAGCAACAGAGAAATGAACCTGGAATTTTTGGACAAGATCACGTCGGGAAGGTAAAAGCATGTTGGGTGATTCAGAAGCGCAGACTTTAAGAGTCTTCATAAACGTTGTGCTTGTGCAAATGCAAATGATTGAGGCCTGAACTCTTTGACGCACCACATTCTTGTGAAAAATCACGGTTGCGATCTATGTACTATATAGTTGCATTGTAGAGTAAGAAACTCCAAACTTCTCTCTAACCCTCTCTCCATAGTTCCATTGATTTTCCTCAACTTCCCAAATTTTTAGATGAGTAAAATTTTATTACCTCTATCTTTAATCCAAGAGCTAAATTTTTTGTCCAAAAAAAAAAGCTAAATAATGAATTTGGAGAGATTAGAAAAATTAGTTAAATTGGTTAATTGTTATAAATATGTGTTGATATTATCTTTTCAATAATGTGTATTGGATGATTAGAATTATTCTTGATGCGAACTCTTTATAATCAACAGAGATATTTTTAAAAAAGAGAAAAAAGTGAATTGAGGTCATTAAATTAAATTTTCAATTAGCTCTTATATTAAGAATAATAATATATTATGAAAAAAAAATGGTTCAACTCCAAAATTGACGAGTTTTTTTTTAATTTAAAAAAAATTCTTTGAAAAACCATTAAAAAAATAATTTTAACATATTAAAACTTTACTTATTTTGTATAGAATCTTGTGAAAAAAAGAAGTAGGAAAAAATTGAGCGGCACCCCAAATCTAACCTAAGTTCTAGCATCTGCCTTGCCTTCTCTTTGATTTCCTATGGCAATCCTTAACCTGCTTCACTGACTTCACCAGTTATGTAATTATATTAATTATTTAGGGTACTTTGATTATGTTATAAAATTCTCAGTCTGATTAAATTCTAATCTTATCTTTGTTTTTAAAATAAGTATATAAACTTCTAAATTTAATAAAATAACATTAGCTGTTCACAACTATTAAACTTTATATTAAGGAAAAAGGTAAAAAAAAACTGTCAAAATAAAAAAATTACAAATAGGGACTCGTTACAACATTAGTATGAGTTTTGAGAATAATTTTTGTGAACGGATTCTTGTATACAATTTTTTAATTTCAGGGTTTTTTTTTGCAATTTTTCCTTATATATTAATGATTATGCAAAATAAAAAAAATGTGATTGCTTATGTTTTTACGTCATTAATTTGATGAAACAAGTGAAACACAAAAGACTAGGATGGCATTGGAATCATCACCCAAAAAAAGAACCAAATCAAAAATAAATAAATAACTTAAAAGGTAAGATGGTAAATATAATTTTTTAAATAATTTTGAATCCGCTTTTAAAATTATAATGTTTATCAAAACAAAATTAAAAGATAAATCATGATTGTCAGAAAATTGAAACGTATATCTTTTTAAATATATATAAATACTAAATTAAACAAAAGTGATATAAATAGATTGATGATAACTCTAAACTTTTAAAAGTATAAATTCCTGTAATGGAAAAAATTACTTACGCGATAAAATTTTGCTCCAAGCTAGTTACGCATCATGCTTAAACAAAGTTATCTGATAACATTCGTGATGCTGATTGCTTTAATTTATTTTAATTTTAAAATGTTTATTATATTTATATAATTTATATGATTATATAATTTTTAGTCTATCTGATAGATTGATCTTTATGTATCCAAATTTATTTAATCTGAGTCCATCTTTTATATAAAAACGCTAGCTCTCAGTTAAAGTTTTCGTCGGATGAGACTGGGGAGAAGAAGAACAGCATCTTCATTCATTCTTTGGTCGTTCATCAGGCAATCTTTCTTTCTTTCTTTAAATTTTTATTGTTCCCGGAATATATTCTACTGAGTGAAAATCCTGTTGAGACTAGTTTAGTACTAGTAATCCTTTCAACTGACCCAAAAAAAAAAAAAACCTTCAATGTACCCACATACGCAAAACGTAGGTCTCGTAGTTATTAGGAATTTAAAAATTTATTAATTCAAGAACCTATCATTCATTTACAATGTTATTTATTATTTATAGTATTATGACTTTTAGTACGTGTTACGTAATTGCTAGTTAGTGATGATATTTATCTTTTGTTTTGCTTCGTTCGTTTTATTCCTTTATTTGATTTGTTTTCTAACAGTAAAGAGTTATGATTCTTGCTTTATTTTTGGATAATGTGTGTTTTTACTGCAGCGATGGATCAATCTACTCAATTTCTTCGAATGTATCTCCTTCTGATGATTTGCCTGCCTGTCGAACTTATTCCAAATCCAGAAAACCACCCCGCCGACGTGAATATCACGACCACGTTGGAAATCCTATGTCAGAAATAGATCGTTCTTCGTTGACCAGTCAACCTCGAACTCAAATTTCTCTTAACAGCATAGAATTTGATGAAAATATCAATTTTGGACCCTTACATCCACTAGAGGCTCAACTACAAAGCTTGAGAATTGATTCCGTAGGGGAAGGCCTACTTCATGAAAATAGAACAAATCAGCAAACCCTAGCTGGAAACTCAAGGCCGATTGAACCAAGACATATTTATGATGGAGCTCTTTATAGGTATAATATTACAAATAAGCAAATCCTAGCTGCTGGAAACTTTGGGATTGGACCAAGTCATGATTATGCAAGATTGCTTCATGAAAATAATACAAACCAGCAAAATACCAACCAACAAACCCTAGTTGGAAACTTTGGGATTGGACCCCACCACCTTGTTTATGAAGGACTATCTCAATGTAACAATGCAAACAATGAAACCCTAGTTATTGGGAACCCTAGGATTGGACCCAGCCCTGTTTTTTATAATTCTCCTGTAGGAAGAATCTTGCAGAGATATAATGACATTACATCGCTTGAAGTTATGAGGGGACGTGTCGTTTCAATGTCGAAAGAGGAATATGGAAGTGAATTTCTGGTGAGATTGTTGGATGGGAAGAACCCTAGAGATATTAAATTCATTTTAATGGAGTTGTTGAATCACTTGCATGATTTAATGATGGACCAGTTTGGGAAATGCGTCATTGAAAAGATTTTTGATGTACTCAATGAGGATCAAATAACCCTCCTTTTTGAATTGATCACTGAGGATCTTCCCAAATTTCAGATTGCCTGCAAAAACAATATAGGGTAAGGGTATGATATATTTTTTCTCTCAAACTATCTTTATTTATTTCTCGATTTATCATATGAAATCATCTCATATTATTCTTATTGTAAAACTTTTTACGTGTCTGATATAATTTATGCAGTCTCTTTATTCGGTATACTAGTGTAAGAAGTTACACTTTTGACATAAACTTCATATAATTTCAACAAAAAAATCACTTAATTTGATATATTTTTTTCCTGTTTGGGTTTTTTGTTTAATAGATTTTTTTTACTCTTTTTTTGGGTTATAGATGCAGAGTTATACAAAGTATGATAGATCATCTTACGACAGAAAGGCAATGGATTGTTTTACATATGCTCTGAGGGAAATTGTTGTCCCAGTAGCCACTTCCCATTATGGAAGTTATGTCCTTCAACATTTCTTAAAACTTTGTCATAGCCATCCTTTTCGAAGGTAATTAATTAATACAACTCTTCATTCCTTAATTTTCTTATTACACACTAATATGTACTATTACAAAGTTATATGTTGATCATGACTTAATGAATAACCAATGTTTTTATTTTCAGGCTATTTTAGATGCAATGGCATCTGAATGCACTCTTGTTGCCACAAACAAAAGCGGTTGTTTTGTTCTTCAAAAATGTCTATCTATTTCTACGCTAGAACTTTCTTACTTGCTGATTTGTGCCGTTACTAATCGTGTCACAGTGCTAGCACCACATCAATACGGGTCAGTAAATAGAATCATTTACACAATTTTTTAAAAAATCATTCTTTAATAAAAATAAATAAATATTTATTATAAGCTAATTATGTTGTATATATATATATATATCCACAGGAACTATGTGGTGCAGTATGTGATTAAGTTGAGGTTGGGTGAAGTAAATGAAGCAATAGTGAATCGACTTCGAGGTTGCTATGTTGACTTGTCTGTTAACAAGCAGGCTAGCAATGTGGTGGAAAATCTGTTGATATTCTCAACTCAGAAGAATGTTGGTATTATAGTTCAAGAGATTATAAATAGCCCTAGCTTTCTGTACCTTCTTCAAGACCCATTCGGCAATTACGTTGCTCAGACAGCCTTGGAATGTTCTAAGGTTAGATTCTTCAACTTCATCTCTCTACCTACCTAAATGGTTTTTAGCTTTCGCTTAAATTATACTGCCTCGATTCTTCACATCTTTCCACAAAATATTCTTATTGCTTATAAGTGATGCCTAGAAAGGGGTAATTTTAATTATCTAATATTGAAGAGGATAGTTTAAGAAGACTAACACACAAATAACTAACTTAATTAATTTTCTTAATATCTCCAAATTCTTGACTAATTTCTTAATATCACCAAATTAATTATCTAAATCTTATATTAAGAACTGGATGTAGTATTCTCGTGGTGATATTTAGTTATGTATAACTCTTATCTATAATACTATTCTAAATTACTACTTTTGGTCTATTTATAAGATCTTGTTTGTAATCTATAAATAATGTCTTATAAATAGAACTAGAAGTAGTAACTTTTTATGTATGAATATACTAATAAATTTTGTATTGGTTTTGCAGGGAGCTCTGTATGATGCATTGGTGAGCACAATTTCGAAACACTATAGAATTCTGTGTACTGATCAATATGGAAAAAGGGTGTTAGATTTTATGTGTGGAGGAGCCAAAAAATTTTATGCGCAATTTCGAAGACATTAGGAAA